ACATGTAGCGAAGTACAGTACAGTACAAAATAAAAAGAAATATGCAAAAAATAAGGTACGGAAATTAAATAAATAAAAGCGTACCTGATTAAATTCTGCTAAAGCTTCAAATAGATTGCAATTGTATGACATAAATGAGTTAGGTAAACATTTACAGATTATAAAAGAAAAGTTAAATGATGAGCATATGAAATTCTCAAGATGGGATATTAGATCTTAATTTGGGGATAGGCTCAGACTAGACCCCTTTTCTCTTTATCTCGATCCCACAGGCAACTGATATATTGAGGTCAGCTTATCAACATCAACTAGAGGCCACCAACGAATCACCCCTATAATCAGACACTCTTAGACCCTATCATTTAGTGAATATGTGAATGGAGTAGTATCTGAACTTCTCAAAGTGTGGTGTATGTGTATGTGAGATGTACTATTTGAACTCATCAAAGTGTAGTGTATGTGTATGTGAGATGTAGAATCTATTTCTCATCAAAGTATCGTGTATGTGTATGAATTGCATATTGTATGTGGGTGTAGTATCTATTTCTTGTGCCAGTGTAATATCTATGTAAAACCTGTAGTATCTGTTCTTTCCTAAGTGTAGTATTTGTGCAAAGATTTGTAGTATCTGATCTTTCTTAAATACCAATTCTCAGGCAATTTGAAAAGGGTTAGAGTCGTTGACTATTTATAGGTGAAAGGTCATCACACTAATTGAATATTGATTTTATATTTCAGCTATAAACTCTATGAATTAAGCTGTCAAATGGTTCTTTGCATCATTGCCTGTTACCCCTCGTCTCGAAGTAATTGGCCACCTCAATATTTCATATGCTCACCCAACAAGATTTTGTACATCCCATATCAAGAAAAATGAGAGAGGTATCTATTTAAGCATTTCTAAAATATCCACCTCCTACCTTTGGGTTCAAACTTTAAACCTGTACATATGATCATTACATGCTCTATCAACTTCTCAAAGAGAAACCTACTCTTATTTTCATATTACCAATTTCAAACATATGAAATTTATGCAACTATAAGGTCAATTCCAGCAAGAGATTAAGATTCAAACCAAGTCATAAACAGGGTCAAAACCAAGCTGACAAGAAATAGAACCGAGCCCAGCAAAATTAATCCACAAAAAAAATCGAAACCAAGCCAACATGAAATAGAATCGGGTTCGGCAAAGGACAAAACCCAAGCCACAATTGCATAAAACTGAACTCCGTATAGGGAATAAACCTGATTATCAAAAGACAAAAACCAAGTATGGTATAAAAGAGGACCAAGTTTAAACCATCACAAAACTAAAATCGAATTTCATAAAAGGTAACAATTAAGCTATTAAAATATAAGTTTAAATTCAAGTTAGGAGGCTAAATCGAACCATCACAAGAACCAAGACCGAGCTCCAAAGCTAATTTTCCAAACCCAAAAGATGTTACCAATATGTATATATACTTTCAAGTAAGACAACCAAGGAAGCAAAACTGTAACTCCCAAATTGCTATTCCGAGCCAAAACAAATTCCAAAATATGCATTCAAGCATTGCATTTAAATAGGGATAACAAGAAGAGAAATTTTGAGGCATTATAGCAGCTGCCCAAAGCTTCTAAGGTCCTCCAAAGTATATTCGAATGAAGGAGCAGCAAAACCGAGCCCCAAAATATTGTTCAAAATCAAAAGAATAGCCCTATTTTATGTATTCGAGTAGAGGCAGCCAGGAGAATGAAAACCACAACTCCAAGCTAATATTCCAAACCAAAACAATCTTCATACATATATTCGAATAGGGACAACAAGAAGAACAAAATCAAACCCCCCAAACAATTGATCAAAGCTATGAAATAGATCTCCAACGTCTTTATTCGAATGGGAAAAATAGGGAAGCACAATAACAACCCCCAAATATCAAAAGAATCCATGTACATCTATTTCAAACTCAAAGAAACCGTGAAGCTCAAAAACAGAAGCCCACCTTACCAAAAAAGTCCAAAATCTCCTTCGAACAGGAGATAATCGAGCAGCTTAAAAAAGAACGAGGCAAAAAGAAATGTCTAAACAAATATTCTCGAATAAGGCATCAAGAAAACCAGATTACAGTCCCAAAAGAATCCTCAAAAGCCAAAATATATTATCCCAATGTATATTCGAAGAAGGCAGCAAAGGATGCAAACCTGCAACTCCCAAACAAATCCTCAAAAACCCACAGATGAATTCCTAATGTATATTCAAAGAAGGCAGCAAAGGAAGCAGAAAACTACAACCCCAAATAGTTATTCCAAAACCATAAGAAAATAATCCCTGTATATGCATTCAAATAAGAGCAGAAAGAAGAACAGGAACCGTAGTATTTGATACCAAAAGATCTCATCACATGTATTTGAATAGGGCCAAATAGTATAACTGTGGTATTAATCTATCAAAATCATGATCAAGAATAACCAGTTCTCAAAATAACTGAAATCTGACCTCGATTTCTCACTAGCTCAAGAAATGAAAAGAGTAAGAAGAAGTCACGAGATGAAAGCTTCCAGCAGAAATCCATCCGAAATCTCAAGAAAAGAAAAAAAGCGTCCTCCTCTTTCTCTCCCCCTTGGGGGTATTTATAGTTGAGCGAGGGGAGGAGAAGCCCACGACAAGGGACCCATACGATCTCAAGAATGAGAGCTACGAGCTCATGAGCGGGAGAGGCCGTTACTAGAAAGTAACCGGCAGTTATAACCGGAGAAAGAGATAAAACACCACCAGAGAGGAAGAGGGTGACCGGAGAAATCGGCAATAGGGCCATCGTTACTCAGCCGAGAGAAGCAAAAGAGATGGGGCAAAATTCGGTCCCAAGAAGAGGAAGGGAGCGCACGTGTGGAAGAGTTTAGGATTAGGATTTAAAATAATACCTTTTATTTTAATAAAGAAAAACTTTATCAAATATATATTTTTTTTATTAAAGAAAATATTAAGAAAACATTAAATTTTGTGTGATCTACTCGCGCTCAGAGCCCCGACAGAATGGGTGTCCTCCCTAGCTAAAGTCGATATTCTGGACGCAACGGCGTGATCCGTTTCTTCATCCGGAGTCACCCGGACAAAGTCATCGACGATCGCGCCAAATTAAATTTGGTTCGCGCATGGCGTGACAAACAAAATTATTTTGGCCCGATCGGCGCCGTTTAACGAGTATATTATTGATTGGTCCTCACATAAGCGACGACCAAAGTCAAACACATCGCTCGCAGTTGCAAGTCAAACATCGCACGCGCCACAATGTTCACCTACGTCTTTCAAATTTCTATAAGAGCTCAATTTGAGCTTCAATATGTCGGCTTTTTGATCGACTCAATCAAATGTTGAGGATCTGAAACCGTCCATATGAAACTACAAGGAGCGAATGAATGGCTTGAATTTCTAAGTGAGGTGAGTCCCAGTCTAGTTATCTAAGAGAGTCAAAATAGGGAGATCTTAAGTCTAGATCCTAGGGTATCTAGAGAAGGAAAAGGAAGACCTCAAAAAATGAGGTCAACAGGCATCTGCTCCAAAGCCTCAGCAAAAAGAATATTGATCGTCAGCTTCTTGAATACTTCCAAGAACCGAGAAAAATTGTTGATCCAGTTTTTGTTTTTAGAGTCTCTGAGGAAATAGTGATTGTGGTATTTCCAAGTTATTCCTAGTGGGTGAGTTTGACTTTCCTGGAACTTTAGAATGGTCTAACATAGATCTTTAAGGTTTCAAGTTCTCTTTCTCCACCTCAAGATCATTTCGTACTACTTCCACCAACTTTCTTCCACTCCTCAACTTGACAACCTTCACGTACTCTCTATTCTTTTCTTTAGAGTTGATCTCTGTGTAACTAGGAAGATTTTCTTGGAGTCGGCTGCTATGTGAGTTCGCAACGCACCCCAATTGATTTTTTATATTCCTAATAGTTGCACCTTGACTTTGTAACTGATTCCTCGTCTGTAATACAACTTACTCTGAAGAGAACTTCTTTTCCTTGAATTGGTTCGAGTTAAAACCAGAGGGGATAAGAAGGTCTCGGGTTAGTGCTACCCTGATTATTCTAATTCCAAAGAGGATTTACTTTATTATTTCCCCATTGTTGATTTCCCACGCATTTATTGTTATTCGAATTAAAATGAGTGTGATTTTTCCAACTAGGGTTATAATAATTGGAATAAGGGTTGTTAGTCTTGTTATTTCTTGCATTTAGGGTCTCAAGTGGCAAAGCTTTAGCATCGAACAGTTGCTCGAATGAATTTTCCTCAATGTCTTGGGGTCCTTAAGGCTGGTTCATTCCTAATTGGTCTAGCTTCCTAGATATAGTAGCTACCTGAGAAGTCAGAATTGAGAGCACATTCGTGTCATGTACATTTGCTATCTTTCTGGAGAATGTCATTGAAAATTATTAGTAGCATCTCCTCTATTAGAGAACAGGCCTTATCAGATGGCTTTGACATAAGAGAACCACCAGTGGCAACATTAATTATAGATCTAACAGATCCTACTAACTTATTGTAAAAAGTATGAATTATTAGCCAATAAGCCAGTGCATCATGGGGGCACTTCCTAAGAAGTTCCTTGAATCATTCTCAAGCTTCATAAATAGACTCACAATTATGCTGGCAAAATGAAGTGATATCATTTCTAAGTTTAGCCGTTTTTTAAGGTGAAAAATATTTAGCTAGGAATTTCTGGGTCAATTCACTCCACATCCTAATTGATTCAGGTGCTAATGAGTTTAACCAAAATTTGGCTTTGTTTCTTAACAAGAAAGGGAAAATCCTTAGCCTAACATCAGTGATAGGAAATTCATTATAGCAAAATGTGGCGCAGAGTTCTAAAACTCGCTAACTGAAGGTTTGGATCTTTAGACGACGTTCCCCCAAACTGGTTGTTCTGCACCATTTAAATGATAATAGGATTCAGTTAAAATGTGTTAGCTTGTATTGCAGGGGTTTGGTTACTCAAATGAATTTCATCTATCGTAGGGTTAGCATAGTCTCTTAAGGGTTTACATGTGTTTGGGTGCTCATGGGTTAGTTCATGAATCTCTGGGTTGTTTTGTGGATTGTTTTTCATCTCTCCTACAAGTTCTTGAAGTCTCTTTTGTTTCCTAATTTTCCTAATAATTCTCTCCAGCTCAGAATCATAAGATTCAAGTCCCGTAGATCCTGCACTAAGCATATACGAACTAAAGACCCCTAATCCTCAAAGTACTAACCAAAATATTTTATGTCAAACACACACAATCAAATAAAAATATTTTTGGTTTTTCTTATTTTTTCAAATAAACAATTAAAACACTTGAACAAAAAAAAGTTACCACTACAAGTTTTCAAGTATAAGATCTAGAAGTTCAACTGAAATTTTTCTAAGTCAAATCACTGTTGTTCATCGCCAACAACGCCAAAAATTTGATATCGCTTCCAGGTGCAACAACACACAGGGGGCTCGCACAAGTGCACGTGTTGTATCAGTCAGATTTCAGAGTCCGAAAAGTCAATCCACAGGGAACGAGATAATTCTTGTTAGCAAAGTCATAGCTTACTGGTTTGAGTCCTAGCTTAAAATTTGGGTTTTGTTTGAGTCCTCGCTTAAAATTCGGGTTTTGTTTGAGTCCTAAAAACTGTTGTTTAGCAAGTGTATGTCCCACTTCTACAAAATACAACTTTAGGATATAGGGGTAGAGTTTCTTTCTCTTGATCTTAGAGCTATCGAGAATCTTTTGGATGACACAATTCATGGATTGCTAATAAAGGGGCCTACAATGGAGTTGGGTCAACTACCTTCTAGATCAGGTAGACTTGAGGTCTGAATAGCTTGGGATGAATGATCCATAATGTCCTTACTCGACTATCTCTACCTAATTAGGATCGCTCTTTCATTTTCTTGTTTATTCCCGTTGAACCCTGTCCCACCTTTAACATTTTTGTTGATGTCATTTTGTGGGCCTCACTTAGCTAAGAGGCCACTGCCCATTTGGGATACAACGTTTTGCCCTCTACCCTTTCGGCCCAGACTGGCCTCGAAATGGTGGGATGTTTCCTACCAAATGACCTTGTTGTTTCAAGAGCCTCGCCTATGAGTCGCTGCCCATTTAGGTCCATGAGGACTTACTATCTACCCAGTGGCTTAACAAGAGCTCAGAAAATATTGGGATGTTTCATATAAGATAATCATCTTTTGTGACACCCTTGCTAGTCGTCACTTAATTGTAAGTAGAACTCCTCTGATTGTGAGTATTTATAGGCAACCCCTAAAATGAAATCAACCAAATAGGATATGTCCATTTGGGAGCAAAACAAATGCATAAATTTGGTTTCTAATTTGGGTAGCTTATATAGGTATTCTTTCATGGATATTTGGTTCAAGGTGTTTTTGTCTGATCTTGGTTGGACATACATTCTTGACCTAGCACATGAGGTTTACAGCGAATAGACTCACCACATGCCTATTTTAAATTTATTTTTCATTGCTGAATTAACTTACTTTTTCTAATTCCTTTCGTATTTTTATCATTCATATAATCCAAAGATTTATTCGGAAAAAAAGATGATAAACAAGTTGGCGACTCATAGAAAAAAAGAGAAATAGAAAAAAAAAAACAGTGCACTTTAACCGGTGCATCCTCTATGATTCCCTTCGGATAGGCTAAGAATCAAACAACTAAATTTACATTTAGGTTGGTAGGTGTGCATCTACTAATTCTAGTCTCTTGAAAGTGGATAATGGATTCAAGTTATGCTTGCTCCAAAGTTACAATAGACCCTCCCAACAAATTTAACTTCTATGGCATAGGATATGATGAAACTATCAGTGTCCTTCATCTTTAGGGATAACGTCTTCTACAAAATGACGCTACACTCCTTCGTCAAGGCAATTCTATCAAAACCCCTAATTTTTTTCTTTTTGATCAAGTCGCCCTTCATGAATTTGGCATAAATGGGCATCTGTACTAGGGCTTTTGTAAATGAGATGTTTATGGTCAAATTTTTAAAAACCACTAGAAACCTAAAAAATTGGTGGTCTTTTTTTACTTCTATAGCCTCTGTGGAAAAAATGGTGAAAGTCTCTTGAGCTCCTTCCTAGAGGGCGAACCAGGTCTCTCTAAGTCCTTGGTCGGTGTCTCACCATCCTTCTCTATTTAGGATCTAGCTCAATCACAATTTTCTCCCTCATAATGATATCTTCCAACTCCGTTCCCTTCTCATTTAGGTTCACTTCAGTGCTACTAAGGAGCACTAGGGGTTTATTGTTCATTAAATTTACTAGCTATTCTAAATGATTTTCAATGTTCAAAATGGTTACAGTTTTGCTCCGTAACTGGTTATCCATTTATAAAACTAGCTCCCCTATGGGTGACTTGTTCTCCCTAGGTTGGGTATTTGGTTGAAATCCTAATGGGTATTGTTGTTGCCTTGGGTATTCCAACTACCTAAAGGGTTAGCCTATGGGTTCCCCCATTTTTGGTTTCCTAGAAAGGGATTATTATTGTTACATTAAAAATTGATGTGGTTCTTCTAGTAGGAGTTGTGGATATTGGAGTAAGGTTTGTTCATCATATTCTCTATGGCATTTAGGATCTCCAAGACAGTGGTGCTAGGATCTCCTACTAGTCCATGACTCATCTACTCAATTGGTAGGGGTCCTAACATTGAAGTAAATCAAAGGTATCCAACTTCCTAGAAATGGTAGCTATATGGGAGGCTAAGATAGTCATAACATCTGAATCATACACAATAGCCTCCTTTTTTAGGGTTAACTCACTCAGAGGGCCATTCAAAACTATTGTTGATCATTTCTTCAATCAACTCATAAGCCTTCTTAAATGGTTTAGTCATTAAAGATCCTCCAGTTG